TGTCTCTCCCGGGGACTAGGCTTTTGTTAGCCTGGGCGGTTGCTTTACACTGTGGGGTTTCCAGGGGGAGAGTCCTGAGTGTGGGAGGGCGGGAGGCAGAACTCGCCCTGCAGTGGGGGTGTGGCTGCCAGTGGGGAGGAACCCAGATGTGGGGAGCCCAGTACATCTTTCTCTTTCAAAGTGTGGCCTAAAATCAGGGGGGTCTTCCAGGAGTTCTGGTGAGGCCTTGGAGAAGGGGCAGGAGGGACCCTCGGAGGTGGGCTGTGGGTGGGAGCAGCAGAGCAATGCATTGCCCAGGGCACAGTGGCACCTTCTGGGGTTGGGGAGCCATTCCTTGCCCTGGGTTAGATCTGCTGTGGCCCCTCTCTCTGTCCCCACCATGGTGAGCCTTGAAGCTTCCTGCCACTTGCACCCCATGTGTGGGGACTGTGACTTTGGCCTGAACCAAATCGGGGGACTTGTCAGCCTTCCTGCAGATCTTTGTGCAGAGGAAGGAAGGTGGGGCTTCCACCCGCAGGGAGCATGTGCTGGAACAGAAACTGGATTGTTAGACGTTTTGTTCACTGTCAAGAAAGGTTGTAAATCAGCAGAAGCAAACCCCAGAAGGCAACTGGGCGCCACAGATCGCGCGTTTACACAGCCGTACACTGTGCTCTGTGGCCAAGCGGGTCTTTGGGAAACCTCGCTTTTGTCAGGTCCCTCCCTGCTCCAGAACCTACGATGGGTCTTTCTTCCCCATCTCATCAAAAATTCTCCTGGTGCCACTTTTCAGGGGCTTGGACAAAATGGCTTTGCCTATCTTCACAATTTTTTTTTTTATCTTGGCCATAGAATCTTCCACTGTCTCTGGGTTCCAAAGCAGGGGGCTCTTAACCTTCCTGACTGAGCCGGGGTGAGAAATACCTCCCTTTACTGTGTGTGGTAAACACTGGAGTTCTCTCTTCTTTTTATCTCTTTTCTATTTTATTTTAAAAAGTGCAGGTCATGACCCACGGAATTGATTTTGTGAAAGACTAGTGGGTCGTGGCCGGCAGTTTGAAACGCAGAGCCGATTTAACACAGTACTAATCACGGGGGCCCAGGGACCACCGAGGAGACTGCAGTGCTGGTGCAGACGCCCCTGGGACAACCACGTGACGGGAAAAACCCACTCTGTCAGATTTCATCAAATCTGACAAAAGACTGGTCAAAACCATTTCTAGAGCCGTGGGCTCCCAGTTGTTTTGGTTGCACACCCCACCAGTGAAAAATGTTTGAGTGTACAGCTTCGATGTGTGTTCAGTTAGTTTTTAACCCATCAATGTATTATGTGAGCATATAAAACATACATTGAAAATATAAATCTTAAAAGGATGCGCTAGAGATGAAAGATGTCATATTTCGAATGACATGCTCATCACAATGGCTTCGTTCTATTTTCAGCAAAGATCTGAAGGCAAAACACGCACAGACGACAAAGTTCATGGTCATCAGCAGCAGCTGTAAATCTGTTTTCAAATTCCTTCAGTAACGTAAGATGTTTTTCTGGTTGACTTCTTGCCTGATTTGGAAAACACTGCTTCGCATCACACCCTCTCCCCTCAACGGTGCCCTTTCTTTCCTGTCAAAACCAGGTGCTCTGGGAGCACCTCCCTTCGCCACCTCCACCCACCAGAAATCTGGAGAGTCATCTCTGAGACCTCCCTTCCCCTTGTCCCCCTCCACCTTCATTTACCACAGTCTGGTAAATAGGGGGTCAGCTCTTCCCACATTCTCCTTGGACGGCCAGGTTCCTGTCACCTCGCCGCATGGCCTCCATTGCCGTCACCTGGCTGACGCTCAGCCCTCAAGCCCCAGCGTGAAGGTCACTGCCTCAGAGGCACCTTCTCTGACCCCTGCCCAGCACACTTTCTGAGGTACCTGGGACTTTTTACCCAAGGTTCTTACCACAATTTTATTTATGTTTCAGTTTATTTAAAGTATATGGCCCTCTGGCATCTAGACTGTGAGCTCCTTCAAGGCAGGGACCATGCATATATGTGTGTGTGTGTGCGTGTGTGTGTAGCACCCAGGTAATACAGTCTCAATAAATAATTATTAATATAACAACCCTATGGGGTAGTAGCAAACGGTATCCCTGTTTTACAGATGAGGAAATGGAAAGACAAGGGGTTCATTGCCGAAGGTCACCCGGTGATAAATGGGGTGCTGGTCTCAGACCCAGGTCTTTCAGACTGCGGTGCGTACAGCACTGCTCTTGGTTGTTCACTCGTAACCCGCGCAGTCTAAGGGCTGATTTTGAGTCCCACCATCCTTGCTGGTGCCCCACCAGCCCTCCACAGTGATTCTCCTTGTCTTGAACTGGCTTCATTAGTACATTGGGCCTCGGTGTAACAACATCTACCCTGTGCTGTTCTGGATAACACCATCCTTTTCCCAGATGATCGCATGTTCCTAAATCTTACCCACCTAAGCTAGATTGTAAAAAGGGATCCTGCATTGACTCATCCTCCTCTTATTCCCTTGCAGCGGACCTGGGGACACCACATACTGAGTAGATAATTATTGATTAATTGCTGATCATCAGGAGTGTGGCAAAGATTTTATCTGACTCTCAAGTCGTAGCCCATCTTCCCACGTACCTGCCAGAAGCAAGACCGTGCCTCAGATCCAAAGGAGTTTTAACTGTTCCAATTTGTACTTGTTGGCTTTCTTCCTGGTGGATCTCAACTTCTGGCTGAGACCCAAGAATTTAAGGGTCTTCAGTTCCATGAGTAATTTCATGAGTTGCTGATGGCTAATTAGGGGTGATTATAGTTAAGAGGCTTTACTTTCTTAATAACCTTCAGAAAGGGCCGGTGGTAACTTTTGAAATCTTGATTATTTTCTCCTGTGAATAGAATTTTCTGGTTCCCATGACTGTCTTTTCTTACGTCCCTGTAACTTGTCTTCCCATTCTCCCTTCCTAGTGAGAAGGAAATGTGATGTCCTGGGAAGAATTTGGAAGCCACTGATTTTGGAAAGCTCTGGCTTTATTGCAGAGGACCCCTGGGCACACCCAGAAACCGTGCTTCATTTGTTTGTCTTTGTCAGGAAGGAGGTGCAGGAGGAGAGGAGGCTGGGCCATGGTTTTGCTTCCCAAGTTCCATTACATTTCAGCCAAACCTGAGGCTGTTCATAGACTTTGAAACTGTTGGGTCCCTTGACAATGCTTAGAAACTCTGTTCAGTGATGGCTTCTGAATAAAGCAGTATTTGTGGGTGAGGGGTGTTAGCTTCCTTTTGTTCCTGTGATCACATTTTTAAGTGTTGCTTCACCTTTTCTTGCATGAGCATCATCAGAGTTACTGTTTCCCAAGTGTCACTCTCTACCAGGCGCTGGGCTTATGTCTACTCTTTGAACTGTCGCAGCTCTTGCAGTAGTTCACTAGGCAGTATTTTAAAAGCTTTAATGAAATGTAATGCACATAACATACTTCGCCCATTTTTAAAAGTTTACAATTCGATGGCTTTTAGTATATTCACAGGGCTGTGCGACCATCACCATAATCTAATATTAGAACGTTTTTGTCACCCCAGGAGGAAACCTTGTACCCTCGCATGAGCGCCTCCCCACCCCAACTACTGATGTGCTTTGTGTCTCTGTAGATTTGCTTATGCTGAATAGTTCTTGTAAATGGAATCATACAATATGACCTTTGTGGCTGGTGTCTTTCATGTAGGAGAATATTTTCAAGGTTCATCTATGTTGTAGCGTGGGTCAGTACATCATTTCTTTGTATTGTTAGTATTTTTACCCACTTCTGAGATTAATGCTGGTCCCCCAGTTCCGCCCTTGCTATTCACCTCTCACTCAAAGGAAATGGCTGTATTGAAGATCCAAACAGAAGAAGAGCAGCTGCACATTGGGGAAACCAAGACACAGAGGCAAAATGACTTTCCTATGGCTAAGTAACCTGGGATAGATGGGGCTAAATTTCCGACGCAGGCTTGCCTACTGAAAGCTTGCCCATGATCTCGGAGTCTGAAGAGTTAATTAGTGGTTATTGGCACCAATTTAAAGCCAACAGTAATCCCCAATTTGGGGTGCAGTGAAAAAGGAAACTTTATTCAGTGCAAAACGTCGTGGCTGTGAGGCAACCCTAGTGCCAGACCCTCTCTGGCTGGTCAGTTCTGCTCTGCTCCTCCCTGGTCTGCTCTGCTCTTTGCCAGTATGCCTCGTTCTGCTATGTTAGTCAGCTCTGGCCTGTGCTGGTCGCCTCTGCTGTGTTCCAGGGGGACATCTTTGGTGTTTTAGCTCAGCCAGGGAAACACAGTATTCAGTCTTTGGTGGAAAGGCAGCGTACCCCCAGAGCCAGGGGGCAGTTGGCTTATATAGACATTAGTCCCTGCCCCTGGTTTCTGATTGGTCTATCCTCATACGAATGAGGACTGCATCCTCACAGTCTGATTGGCACTGCTCAGTTGGTTGGAGCTGCATAGCTCTGGCTGGATGGGGAAAGCATCAAGTAGTACTGTTGAAATGGGACGTGAAGAACTCTTTATGAGGGCTGGTTCAGATAGCAGAAACACAGTGTGGGCAGGCAGTTCAGGGCAGGTTTTTTTCTCCCCGGAATGCAGCTAATATGAGAGGCCCCTGTGTAGAAATGGCTGATAGGCTTTGGGTTTTTTTTTGTTTGTTTGTTTTTTGTTTTAAATTTAAATTTTGTTAGCCACCAGGAGCCTTTCTTAGTAGGCATTTTCCTTTTCAGGGTCCACAGAGATAATTATTGATAGGTATTTATTGAACATCTGTAAATCAGTCACTGTGCTGCGTGTTCTATAAATCTGGTACCAAATGTTCATACATCATCAAACTTCAATTGGAAAATCTGGTAACTATAACTGGTCAGTGGAATTTTTGTTCTCATGTCTTCCATTTGCTCACTTCTGGTTTCATTGGCCTACTTAGGCTATAGAATCATAGCTTGTACAATCTTCCTGAGCACTACACTAAAAATAGCATTGTTGTTCCTTCTGTAGGAGTTTGAACACCACTCCCACCTGTAGGAAATTGGCCCCATCTCCCAGGAGCCTTTGCTTTTCCCTTGGACCACAGCATCATGTTTCCCCATTTCATGGGGTCTCTCAGGTAAGTGGAGGACCTCTTCCAAAGAGAACGAGAATTTTGATATTTGAGATTTAGTCTATAGTTTCTTATAGCAAATAGCTTTGAGGGTCTGCGTCTCACTGGTATTTTTTATATACTGCATACACATTTCTGATAAGTGGGTTATTTGGAAGGGTGGCTGAGGCCGAGGGAGCTGTGTGCTGGGTGAGAGGTGCTTGCATTGAGATCCAAGTAGCTCGAGTTCTAAGCTGTATCCTGCCATTTTTAAAAGATTTTATTTATTTATCTTTAGAGGGGAAGGGAAGGAGAGAAGGAGAGAAACATCAATGTATGGTTGCCTCTTGTGGGTCCCCTGCTAGGAACTGGCCTGCAACCCAGGCATGTGCCCTGCCTGGGAATCGAATTGTGATCATGTGGTTCATAGGGCCGCACTCAATCCACTGAGCTACACCAGCCAGGGTTGTATCCTGCCATTTTTTAATGAAAAAAATTTTAAGCCTCAGATATTTTTTAATAAATGTGTTACCAGATCAGTGGATATATATTATGGGTGAATAATAAAATTACCTGAAGGGCTAGAAAAATATTGTCTTCTGTCTGCATCTCCTCAGATTTTGAATTATTTGATCTGGATTATTTAAAAGGTGACATCTCTAGTCCCTTCTGCTCACATCTATGACTTTCCCCTACATTTTTTTCTTTGATCCTGACATCCACCATGAGAGGTAAGCGGAGCAAGCACTAGTGTCTCTCATTGGTAGAACAGAAACCAGGGCTGGGAGCCCTTCACTCCTGTGTGCCACAGTCCCTCGGAGTGGTCGGAAGGAGGGCCCTGTGCCGGGAACTGCTGTCCCTGCCATCGAGACCATTTCCAAACTTTAAGCTAATAGACCCTTTTAAAAAAGTCTTCGATCAGGACTTCCAGCCAAGATGGAGGTGTAGGTAGACACACTGTGCCTCCTCGCACAACCAAAAGAAGGACAACAACAATTTAAAAACAAAAACCAACCAGAACTGACAGAAAATCAAATTGTATGTCAGTCCGATAACCAAGGAATTAAAGAAGAGACATCCATCCAGACCAGTAGAAGAGCGGAGATGGGTGGCCAGGTGGAGAGGACTTGTGGCCCGGCAGCAGTGGGTGGACTGGGTGAGGCGGTGGATTGAGGACTGGGGGGTCCCACATTCAGGTGCAGATAAACCGAGAGGAACCCCTGGGGAGTGAGACAGACCTCAAAACCTCGGCCCCAGTGCAGGGAAATAAAGCCTCAAACCACCGATTGAAAACACCTGTGCGTGTTGAGGCAGCAGCGGGAGAGACTCCCAGCCTCACGGGAGAGTTCATTAGAGAGACCCACAGGGTCCTAGAATGTACACAAGCCAACCAACCTGGGAATCAGCACCAGAAGGACCCACTTTGCTTGTGGGAAGTGGGGGAAGTGACTGAAAACCCTCAGGGAACAGAGCAAGTGGCACTGTACCCTCTCTGACCCCTTTCCCCACATACAGTGTCACAACACCGTGAGGTAGATTGCCCCGCACTCGTGAACAACTAAGGCTCTGCCCCTTATACATAGCAGGAGTGCTGAACCCCGCCACCCCCAAAAAAATATATATATGGCCTAAATGAAAGAAGAGATCAAAGCTCCAGAAAAAATACAACTAAGTGACAAAGAGATAGCCAACCTATCAGATGCACAGTTCAAAACACAGGTGATCAGGATGCTCACAGTGTTGGTTGAATTTGGGTGCAAATTAGATGAAAAAATTAAGGCTATGAAAAGTGAAATAAAGGAAAATGTAGAGGGAACCAATAGTGATAGGAAGGAAACTGGGACTCTAATCAATGGTGTGCACCAGAGGTAAGAAAGAAACATTCAACCAGAAAAGAATGAAGAAACAAGAATTAAAAAAAAAAAAAAAAGAGAAGCTTAGGAACCTCCAGGACATCTTTAAATGTTCCAACATCTGAATTATAGCGGTTCCAGAAGGAGAAGAGGAAGAGCAAGTAATTGAAAGCTTATTAGAACAAATAATGAAGGAGAACTTCCCCAATCTTGCAAAGGAAATAGACTTCCAGGAAGTTCAGGAAGCTCAGAGAGTCCCAAAGAAGTTGGACCCAAGGAGGAACACATCAAGGCACATCATAATTACATTAACCAAGATTAAAGATAAGGAGAGAATCTTAGAAGCAGCAAGAAAAAAGGAGACAGTTACCTATAAAGGAGTTCCCATCAGACTATCAGCTGATTTCTCAAAAGAGACCTTACAGGCAAGAAGGGGCTGGAAAGAAGTATTCCAAAGTCATGAAAGGTAAGGAGCTACATCCAAGATTGCTCTATCCAGCAAAGCTATCATTTAAAATGGAAGGGCAGATAAAATGCTTCTCAGATAAGGTCAAGTTCAAAGAGTTTATCATCACCAAGTCCTCATTATATGAAATGTTAAAGGGACTTATCTAAGAAAAAGAAGATAAAAAGAATGTACAGTGAAATTACAGCAAAGTCACAGTTATTAACAACCACACCTAAAACAAAAATAAAAGCAAACTAAGCAAACAACTAGAACAGGAACAGAACCACAGAAATAGAGATCACATGGAGGGTTATCAACAGAGGAGTGGGAGGGGGATAGAGGGGGAAAAGGTACAGAGAGTAAATAGCATAAATGGTAAGTAGAGAACAGGCAGGGGGAGGTTAAGAATAGTATGGGAAATGTAGAAGAGAAAGAACTTACATGCATGGCACATGGACACGAACTAAAGGTGGGGATTGTGGGTGGGAGTTGTGTGCAGGGTGGAGGGGAATGAAGGGGGGAAATGGGACAACTGTAGAAGCATAATCAAAATATATTTTTTAAAAAGTCTTCAAAATCTTATGTAAAATCTCAATATTTAAAATAGCCAATAAAAGCATTTTATTAAGATAAATTTATTTTACATGTTCAACTTCGTAGTATTTACACATTATGAGACCAATGAGTCTGTTTGGATAAACACCAAAATTTGAAATCAGGATGTATAGCTGGTAGCTGGTACATCAGCCTCAGCGTCTGGTTGATTTCACACTTGTTTTAGCTGCATAGTATTAAGAAAATCTTGATCTGTACAGGTAAGTAATTGCAATGAGTAACAGGTTTTTGATGAAACTCATCTCGCAATTTCAGGATATTCTTTAAATTAATTGATTTGGAATCTAAAAAAGAAGGGAAGGAAATCCTTCTGTTTCAAAGTTGAATCACTAAGGGTGTTTTGCAGTCCCCCCCCATAACTATATGTTAGCCCAAATGCCCAGAGCTTGCAATAAAAAGGAAAACATTCTATGATGTGTTATTACGATGGTGCCAGTTACGATTGCCCAACCAGGGCTCGAGCATTGGTCAGGTGGATGCCCTTAGGCATCTTCAAGGGTTCTTGGTGGGCTCACCTCCAAGCTGCGCATTATTTTAGAGAAATTGCTCACGGACTCGAAATGGGGATGGGAGTAGTTGAAAGCTAGACGTCACCTTGCTACCCTTATGGCAGAACTCTGGAAGTCTGGAACGGCCTCCACCACTAGGGTCCCTCTAAGGGAGAGTTTGGGAAGGGCTTCTCAGCAGGACCCTCCCCCCAGAGCCCTGCTGTGAGGTCTGGGGTTCTCTGTGGGAGCTCAGCAGAGATTTCTATCCGCTCTCCTTCTTAAGCCAGGGACTCAGACTATTTTGCATTCTGTCTCTAGAGCCATGTAAATTGGAAAAGCAAAAACAAAAACAAACCTAGAGTGTTTTGCTTAAATGCTTTTCAAAATGTTCTGGGGAAAGGGGCTCTGGTTACCTGGAGAGTCAGAGGTCTCTGATAAAATTGGTGGTTGGGAAACACACCTATTAAGGGCTTTCTAATATCTATCGGGGCAACCAAAAGGCATCCAGGTCCACTGGAGAAGCTGAAGGATTTCTCCACCTATAGAGAAAACAGGTTAAAATTAGAAGTCAGTTGCCAAGAAAGTCCCTGAGAGGAAAAAACATTTAAGGGGATTCACAATTCTGATAAGCAGAGATTTAGTTTAAAAATCCCTGCTCAGTTTTTGCCAAGCCACAGAAAAACAGAAAGCCAGCTTCCTCATCGAAAGAGAAAGAGCAGCCCCGAGTAGTAATGTAGCAAGAGTATCTCTGCCCTGTTCAGAGTGTGTAATAAAAAAGAATCACAGTAAACCCAGTAGCAGAAGAGACATAGATTTTAACTCTTGATGGGAGTGGTTAGAGGCTGTCACAGAATGTTGGGTGAGCTCTGGATACTGGGCAAAATGCATGGTAAGTGAAGTCCTTTGGAACCAAAGGGTCAGTCAAGGCCACATTGAGGAAGTTTGTTACCTGGTCACCTGTTCCAAGTCTTTAGAGAGGAAGAGGTACTAAGGGATTGAGTGTTTATATTTCTAAAGCCTTGCTCCAAATTTTGCACCTTGTTCTGTATGCACAGCTATGTCGTTATGTGTTTGTTCAGTGACCAAGTGGAAGGAAACAGCGTCCCCCGCAGAAGCACTGCAACGAGCGGTGAGGCTGCCTCAGGGTGCAGCCTGCACAGCCTCCTGGGGCCAGCGCTCCTGCTCAGGTCTCTGCCTTCACCCCTCGCAGGGCTTCAGTGTAATGACTGCATTTCACGTCTGAAACGCAAACAGAGAAGAAAGCAAAAGTACTGAATACCAAGCAGTTGGTGAAGTTGGCAAGAAATGAAGTTGATTCAGTGATTCTCCTTTCAAATGGTAGTCTTTGAAGAAATGCAGATGTAATTAGAGAGATTACAAGGATAGATGGTGATTTTTATAGATTTTATAGAGCGTTCTGGATCATTTTAAGCATTTTACAGATTGATGGCCCTAGGTCAAGTGTCTGGTTTTAGTCTTCTGAAACTTAAAGGCTTTTCTTTTCCTTGATATACATTTCAGTGAGTAATATTACTGTAATGCCTGTCAGCTACTTCGCTTAGAAATACAACCGAAAGGGACTGAGGAAATGAGACAGAGAAAGGGGGCTGGTTGTTCTTTGGG